AGTTTTAGATAAAATTCTCCATGGAGCTAACCCCTGGCAGATGATGCTTAATGAAGACAAGTATCTATCCAGATAATGTGGGGAATGCAATAAAAAGGCGAACATAATGCTAGGATATACAGTTAGAAGTGTACATTTTAAATCAAAAGAAGTTATGTTAATATTGTGTAAGTAGTAAGGCCTTATTAACTGAGTACAATTTTATTCATCATGTCGAAGAAAAGAATCCCTGTAATTGCAAGAATTGCATAATTTCAGGACTTAAGGGAGTGTCCCACTCTGACAGACTGAAGGAACTGAGTCTCTTTAGTCTGAAGGGAGTGTCCCGCACTGACAGGCTGGAGGAACTGAGTCTCTTTAGTCTGAAGGGAGTGTCCCACACTGACAGGATGGAGGAACTGAGTCTCTTCGGTCTGAAGGGAGCGTCCCACACTGACAAGCTGAAGGAACTGAGTCTCTTTAGTCTAAAAGGAATGTACTGCGTTGTACACAGCTGAATCTCTTTAGTCTTTAGTCAGTGAAGATTATGAGGCCACCAGAGGACACAAACAGAAACTATGTGGAAGTGGATTTAAAATTTAAAACAGGAGGGACGCCTTTACGCACAGAGTGGTGGGAGTGTGGAACGAGATCCCAAAGCCATGTTGTTGAAGCCGATAGCCTGGCTTCTTTCCAGATACAAACTACCAGACAAGCTGGATGTGAATGGCCTCCTCTCGTTTGCAACCTTTTTTTATGTTCTTACTGTATTACTGCTATTAACCATTCGGTATGTTCTCAGGCCAGAGAGGGTGTTACCTATGAATATATATAGTTGTGCAGATTCAGAGTATGCAAAGGAACAAGTAAGGATTTATTCCATGCTGAAAAGAAAAGAAAAGAAACACCTTCTGTGGGTGTGACACACTCCTCTTTTCACCCTGGAATCAACTCTTACTTGTTCCTTTGCAGCCTGCGCATGCTGACGCAGCTCCCAGCTTGAACTAGATCCAGAGCCAGGTGGAGAGACACTGTCCACTCATTCGAACTGGTTGGCGTGCGACTATTGACGATTAATCAAGTTTATTGAAACATATGAAATAGAGTATACAGAATAATGACAGATTGTATACACTGAGTACAGAGTATGACAATACTGGGACACAAACTGGACGGCTCTGAGACACAGCTGGTCCCCAGGGAGAGGGGCATGAGTGGGATGGAGACAGAAATCTCCTCAGACCCTTCAAAGAGAGGATGAATGAATGGGCAGTTTGATAGGCACGTGTATGGATGGAGGGATAGACACGTAGAGAGATTAGATCCGTACTGGGGCTGCTGTGTACAATTCAGAGTAACGCGTCCCGGAATAGCATCCCTCCTCTCCCTGCTCAGTTCATAACTGGGAATCCGGTTGTCGTGGGAGTCGGTGGGGCGCTCAGGTTCAGAGCCTGGAAGGACACAATGAAAGCAATGAATACCCCACTGACGCTCACAGATCTGCTCATCTGCCAAAGGAAATATTAGACTCGCACAGATCGCTTGCACAAGACGCAGAACAGATCAGGCACAAGCACCCCTGGGTCTGACAAGGCGGGGCCTCCTGGGCGTGCTCGCAGGGCCTGATGCAGACGCTCTGGGATCCAGGACACGTCAACAGGTGGGGTCCCTGGGAGACTCGTGCTCTAAAGCAGGGGAGCCCAGCTCCAGCCCTCAAGGAGGCGCTGTCCAGCAGGCTTTATAGGTCTAAATCTCTTGTCAAGAATGAGGAAAGACTTCACCTAGTCCAATTAAGCAATTAGTGAGTCCAATCAGGTAATGGAGGGCTCAGCAGGAAGGAGGGGGTCAGATGTGTTAACCAGCTCCTGGCGTGCTGAGGGTGGGTTTTCAGTGAGGGGAGTGAGGTATCTGCTCGAACCCGCAGCACTGCTGAGCACAATTCGGTGACATCTGCATTGAAGAAAGATTGGTCTTATACCGTGTAGGGGGTGAACTTCTTCTTCTCTCGGAAGAGGAAGATGCTGAGGAAGAAGCTGATGACAGTCTGAACCACCGTGAACACCAGGAGAGAAGACTTCACTCCCCGAGAGAAGGCCTGACAGAGAGAGACAACGCCTGATAAAGACAGTACATTATTGACATAGCAGTGCAGTCACGCACAGTACAGTCAC